CTCCAGTAAATTCCATCGTAAAACGTCAATGGACGTCCGTTCACGCGAACGTGTTTTTCCCTGCCGCTCTTTTGCGGTTTTCCTCGCGTGATCTTCTTCCTCGCTGGATCGCTTGTTTGCTTCGTGTGCGATCGATGGTCATTGTCATTTTAAAGCACGAGCCTGTTTGTGCCGTTTCTGTTTTATTTCTCGAATAGTATCAGCATTCTGAATATTTCTTGGCTTATTTGGATAAAAACACTAAAGAAAATTAATTCGAATGTTGATAATTTCAAACTTCTCCCACTAAGGAAAGAAAAGGTTCACTCGTGAAAGAAAATAATATTATATAAAATGAAACAATGTAAAAGAAACAATATTATATCATATTTGTGAAAAAGAGCGAATCGCTTTACGCATTTTATATTTAATCTCAGATTGAGCGTGCCTTGAGATCAAAGCTTTTAATAGTAGAAATCCTTTACAAGATGTAAGATCAAATTGCTCAAGTTTGAATGAATCTTGTAAATCTTGGATCCAAGGAGAAGAAAAAAATTCCCGAGATATCTAGACTGCGCGCTTGTGCATGTTAAATTTCTAGAATAAAGAAATACAATCAATTTCAGTGTTAAACAACTTGGAAAAAGCAGAATCAATTTAAACATCAGCCTACGAATTAAAACGTTTGTGATTAAGATCGTCTCTGAAGATGCGTAGGAAGTGAAAATTCAATCACCTGGATTAGCTCACTCGTAGGAAATGCGGACGGATATCCTTTTCTTAATAATCACGTGTAACATGATTGGCAAGCAAAATCAAGATTCGCCCGGTCGTCGAGCCAAGAAGGACACCAATTCGACTTTAATCGAGTGAAACAGGATTACGAAATTAGTGGTCAACAGCTTGTTAGTTCTGTTCAAAGATTCGGACATCTCGAAAAAAAAAAAAAAAAAACGGAATTATGTGAGTCACGATAGCTCGATTCTGTCCTAGAACGCTAGGCAAAGGTTACTTCGAATTACAAAAGACCACGTCATAAATTCATCGGACTCGTTTCATAAATCTTTCGGGCATAGTCGAGCCGGGCATGAAAAGAATTCCGATTTTCTTTCAATGTTTACAGGATTATTCATTCATCAAAGGAGTCCATAAGCAACCAATCGCTGGCGAGCACGAAACTGCTTTGCATTTTAATCTCGGGTGTTGTACAAGAGGAAGCGATACTACATTCGAATTCTTTGCCATTGTTATGTAATCGCCATTTTGCTTGTCCTTCGCGGCAATTAAACGTCTGTCTGATCATGTTCCTTGAGGATCCTTTCTAATCTTCCGACGATCGAATTCGAGGAAGGCCTTGAAACAGATTTGCTACGAAAATAATTTATGTTAATCGCGATCAATTCGACTCGATCGCTCACGGCAATATTAATCATCGGCTTCTGCAAAGACACGTTAAAAGTACTAATCATGCGATAATTTGTAAACGCCAGGTTCGGTTGTTTTCAGAATAATTTTGAACGATTAGAACTTCCGAATAATTTTGGTTCATTTTCTTTTTAGCGAGCGTTAGTTTCATTATCGGATGTTAAAATCGTTCTCAAGTTAAGTAAAAAAACGGCGATAATTTATTTTTCGAATAGAATTTTTAGAAACGTGGTAGAATTTCGAATTGATGTTACAGAATTTCAATTAATTGCTGTGCAATCAGACCCGACTCTCGATAATTGTGTAATTGTCGAACTTTGTTTATATAATAATTTCCACGATTTCCCCCCAAACACGTTAAGGCACTTATTGTCTGAATCATCGGGCATTTTAAACACTTCTCCTACATTTTTATCTACATATAGCCCAAACGGACAACGTTTTTCAATTAACGAAACGACAATAAACAAGATCGCAAGTATCGAAAATATTACTTAACACGAGACATGTTAACGCGTCAAGTGTTTCACCTTCTGGTGACTTTTACGTCATCAGAACAGGGATTTCCAAAAAACTGTTATACTTTATCAAACATCTGATGTTCCTTTTTTTTTTTAATCAAATCAAGTTATTGATATTAAAACGATATCATCAAGGGTATGTAGAATTGAAAGGCGACGATCGACCGTAACACGAAATCCGCCATTAACGTGACGACGCAATTGCTAAAAAAAAAGAAGAAAAGAAAAAAAAGTACAACAGAGGCGCACTCAATGTCAAAAGCAAGGCCAACAATCGATACGTCATAGGAGCTCTTTGTCAGCTCCGATCTAATTAATCCTCGTTAAGTCATCGTCAATTGTTTACGTAAACGAACCATTCGACCAACAGACGCAAAGTTTCGTTCGCGGATCGCTCGCGTCTCCACCACCTTGTCTCGCGTGAAATTATTGCACACGAACGTTGCGATCGTAAAAAGATATTAACACCTGTCGTAAATGTAACTTCAACTGCGAGGACACGCAAGTGACGTGAGACACAGGGGGAGGTGAAGAACAGGTGATGGAAGTCGAGGATGGAGAAACTCCCGTGGAGGAGTTTGGTTTTACAATTAGATTCGAAAATGAAGTCGAGGCTGGAGAAACTCCCGTGGAGGAGTTTGGTTTTACAATTAGATTCGAACATGAAATCATAGAACAAGCATTCTCCGCTCAGGTTCAACTTCAGTGCAAATAAAAATGTTTGCGGGATCGAGTCGAGAGAGAACGACGAATAGGAAGTTGAAATAAGAGAAATTAAAGATGCTGCTGCGCTATTTCACATTTTTGCAGACGTGTCTAATAAGTAGACTAACAGCAGATGTTTATTAACCAAATGCACAAGATACGCAGAGAATAATACGTTCTGCGTATCTTTGTTGAAAGGCATGTGCACGCATGCGTTTTATATCTGTCTCATTGAAACGAACGAATTTATCAAACTATCACCTGAATTCATCTCGTGATGCATGCACAATTCGATCTCTCTGTTTTCTACCTTGGTGTTGACATCAAACAACAGATAAAACAAAAGTGATAATTGAACAGCGGACGTTTGTGCAAATATGCCCGTTGTTCGTCCATATTTGCCTATTGTTCGTTTGATCTAGATAAATAGAGGAGAAATCGTTAAAAATCCTTGAAACAGGATGCGAGAACGTGACACCTTCTTGAAGCGGAAGTGCCTGAAGACAGATCCCCGCGGCACGAAACGATCGATTCGATTTCATCGATGCAATAGGAACGGGGAACGTGAAGCCTGGTATCCTAAAATGGCTTTATTAACTCTTAACTTTACACGTGTTTAATATGCAGTACTTGTCAGACATATCTGTATACGCGTGTATCTGTGTGTGTCTTTGTGTGTACGTGTGTTATTCAACGCTCCTTCGTTCAACGTCGACGAATCCATCCGAAAGGGATGATCGTTAACGGGACACGACACCCTTTCGATCGCGTAGACCGAAGAAAGGACGACATTTTGTTATCTGGCCCGAGCTCCTTCCGTCCGGGGGTTCCGTCGAGGCGGACAAAAATAATTCGCGAATTCCCAGTCGACATAGTATATTATTACTCTTACGCGTTATACCATTATGTGTACAAGAAAATTCCTTACGCGCGACGTGATTAATCGTTTCACCTTTGGAACATTTTTTCTTTTTTTTTTTTTCGTTTGCTCGCTCGCTCGTCCATCGTGACTCGATCGAGTTTCTGCGATCCCCCCCCCCCCCCCCCCCCCCTTTCCCGTTTTCTTCGTTCTTGTTTCCCTAGCTTGGTTTCCGTTCTCGTTCCTCTGTACAAAATACTTTCGAACCCCTTCGTTTCGCAGGCGAAGAAAATGAAAGCAAGCTCCCTCGGGCGTTTCTTGAAACGCAACGATCGGTTCTCTCTTATCTCCCTGCGTCCGCCAGTTCCAATCTTTCTTCCCTTTTTACCCATCATTGCCCCTCCCTTGCCCGACATCCGACTATCTTATAAATATCGTACACAGTTTATTATCATACATAATATCGTCGCGTCCGTCACAGTAACACAATTTGCAGCGCATGAGAGTTACGCGTTACAGCGATGATATGATTAGAAGCATGATATGAGTTCCCGCTTCTTGCTTATCGCAGGTTCACAGACCGGAGATCCGAAAGATTTGGAGAGCCTTTGAACTTTGAGTCGGTGTGTGCACATCGCGATCAGTCACGCAACGATCGATACGCAAGTCTCATCCACGGTTCGAGCGCCTCTCATTTTCTCTCTATATACATGTCTTTCCCTCGGTAAAAAAAGCTTTGCGTCGTTTTCTCTCTCTTTCTCTCTCTCTCTCTCGTTTTTTTTCGTTTTTCTTTTTTTTCTTTTTTTTTTTTCTCTTTTTTCGAAGCAGCTCGAGCTCGTGAAATTTCTCGAGACGATCCGTGACACGTCAATAACCTTGAACAGCGGATACAAACGCTAAAAACGTGATACAAAAATAGAAAATACTTCGAGGTTTACTAACCCGCGCGATTATCGCGACGAATCCGTGGTATCATGCTCGTTTTCATGGGAACGCAATCGTTTTACATCGTGGAAATAGAATACGCACACGTGTCTGCATTCGTGAGCTCTACATTTCTGAGCTTCATTCTGCGATAAACAAGACGCGGCTGAAGAAGGATTGAAGAGAGATAGCCGCGTGTTAATATACTTAAGTCTTCTACATTATAAAGACGTGAATTAATAGTAATATATATTATATCGTAATTTTTAGCTTGCATACGAAACATCCTCTTTTTTTTTCTTTTTCTTTTTTTTTAATCATTCTACATACACAATTATCATCATCATCATCATCATCATCCCCATTCACACTAAGTTTTAATAGGAGTTGACCCCAAGTTTGCAGATTCGTCAACTACACTCGTTCCTGTTTGCGAAGAAGTGGATGAACAGAGCCTTCAAATTCGAGGTGCGCGCGAAAGATATCGCTTCTTCTTTCTTTCCTTTTTTACTTTTGTTTTGTTATTCTTCTTTTTGTTTCCCCGTCCATCGTTCTTTTCTCTCGATCTCCTCCCCCCCTTTTTTTTAAAAAATATCAGGAAACTATCGAGGTATTGAAGAAACGGCAGTGCGTACGTACCCGTATCCCCAGAAAAATCGTGTTTCTTTTTCACTCTATTCCCTTCGTTTCCCATTCGTTTTTGTATTCGTTCACGAAAATCAGTCGAAAATTCATTTGCAACAGAGCAGCTGGTTTAGATAGTATAAAATCATTCATATAAAAAACATGTGTACGCGCCCTGTCAATACGGTGTACGAGTGTGTTTCCGCATATTTGTGTACATGTTAAAAAGTAGGTCTTATTAAGTAATCCTCCTTCCCCTTTTCTTTTGTTCCTTCTTATTTTTAATCCCGTTCTTTCCCTTCTGTTTTAAATAGTTAGTGCTCCATTTCTTTTTTTCTTTTCTTTTGGCTTGGTAACTGTATAAATTCTAAATTAAGCCTTCGACTTAATGTACTTTTAGAATCGTTAAAAGTTTCTTTTCTCCTTCAAACGATAAAAAGTAGAAACAAAAAAAAAAAAAAAAAAAAAAAAAAAAAAAAAAAAAAAAAAAAAAAGAAAAAAAAAGGAAACCCTTACAAAATAGTCACAGAGCTGTTAAAAAAGAACGAACTGTTCGTCAGATTGTGCGTGAAACGATTAGAAAGCTTATTATAATGCGAAAAGAAAAAAATGATATAAAGAAATAAAAAGTGCAAGACAAAATCTAAGTAAATGCTATAACATTTGAGTCTGGCAGTGTTTTTTCTGAACGACGTCGATCTAAGTAACTGCAGCAGACTGTCTATCGAACGACAAATAGGTAATATACATATTTTTTTTATATATATATTTATATATTATCATTAGTTTTTCTTTTATTCTGCATGGCCTACAGCGCCAATGGAAGCATTTTGCTGTCACTCTGCAATGGCATATCGCGCAAACAGATACACACGATTAAGTTACGTTTCATTATTTTTTTTCTTTTCTTTTCTTAAAAAAAAAAAAAAACCCTCACTCTTCTCACTAAGTTAATCGTTTTAAGTCGGACATAACCGAATCGTCGGATGGGCCAGTTCAATAAAATCGCAGAATATTCGAAATTTCCTTCGTTCTTGTCTCGACATTCCTCTTACAAAAACCTATGGACAGTATAAAAAGAAAAAAAAAGAGGCTCGAATAAAACTGTCTCATCCGACGACAAATTATCATGTATCTTATTATTTTTCTTTTTTTTTTTTTTTTTAATCTGGCAGCATTACGCGTTGTAGGTACGTTGTAAGATTCGTTAAGTCAATAGTCTTTGATACTTGGAGACCGTTTGCTTCTTTTCCCTTTTTTTTTTTTCCATTTTTTAACAGACAAACTGCTTTAAGTCGTAGAACCATTTATAGTACGTGTTTTCTTCGTTCACAGCATGATACCCTTATTGCTTAAAAAATGGCACTGATATTACTGAAATATTTTAACGAGTATCGTTGCTGCATATACACACATCGACTCTTGCTACCCCATATTATCAAGTAAAATACATCTCGCCCTAAACGACTGGCTGGTTCTACAAGATTCCGTAAACCTAAAACCTAAAAACCTATCCGCTTACCCGGTCGGAGTAGTGCGTCATTCTTTCTCTCTCTTTCTCTCTCTCTCTTTTTTTTCTACAGTTTGAATTCGTTACGAAAGGCAACGCGTGATTTGTAATCCCATACACTCCCTAGAAAAATGTTTCCTGCGAAATTACAAGACGGTCTGATGACAAAAGTACGTCGTAAGTATGTTAAAAGGACAAAAGTAAAAAGAGGCGAAGAAAAAGGGAAGAGACTCGAGGACGACATACAATTCCCTCGTCCCTCGTTCCCTTGTCTTTCTCTTCCCTTAAATACGATATATATCGCGGATAAATAGCGGCGAATGAGTATACATGTACATAGATAATATTACAAAGTAAGTAAAAGTGGGCGTGACTTTTGGCGTGAGTTCTCGCGAACAGATCTTTCGTCTTTTCTCTCGTTTCGTAATACCGATATACATACATATATATCTATACATATACATATATATATCTATACATATACATATATATATATATCTATACATATACATATATATATTCGGTTGCCGGAACAAACGAAAGCTTTGTTTTTTGTTTTTTTTTTTTTTTTTTTTGGTTTTTTCTTTCTTTGTTTAGTTAAGATTGCTGTATACGTTCAGAATACCACGGTTGTCGACTTTGTCGACAAACTGAGGTTTCTTCTGATAGTTGGTTTGGTTTTGCGCGTGTATTGGGGAGTCGCCGAGCATCGCTAGCATATATTTGCGCGTGGGTGAGTGAACCGTATTTTGTTAGGGAGGTACGTATGGGGGTGGTTTCCTGTACGTGGGAGTGGGTTTCGGACGATTCTGACGATTGGTGTCGCGGTTCGTTGCGAATGGCGGAGGCGGTTGGTACGGCTCCTCGGAATTCTCCTTTGGTAACATCGGCACGTCCGCACCGTCCTCGGCTTTTTGATACTCCGGAGGTGGTAGCGGTGGTTTCTCTTCCTTCAGAATGACGGGAGACTTGTTACCTACAACGAAGGAACAACGACGAATATATCAGGAATATAAACTTGTTCAAAGGAGACTTGGTGACGTAGAGAAACGATGCAGCAGGATTTATACCTGGATCTGGCTTTTCGTCCAGCTCGTCCTGGAAAATGACGGGTATCCCCTTGCTGCGAAAACTCTGTCTCTCGTCGTCCTGTTCGCTGACGCTCATCTTGCCGCTACGCCTTCGTCTGTACAGCACGCAGGCGATGATACCGGCTAGAATTAGCATTATGGCGATTATTATAGCTGGCAGGACAAACGTGACAAGATAATCGTCGTTGAATGCCCCGACTGAGGTGGAATCACCATCCACCGGTGGAGCGTGGCTGTCTGGCGAATGAACGTTTGGCAACTCGCCAAGACAGATGCCCATAGGGATCACGGTGATCTGTTTCACGGGGAATTTCACTCCCATGACGTCTAGAACTTCGTCCGTGACGGATCGACGATCGTTGTCACTCTTAACGAGCACTGATCGCAATCGGCTGACTTCTTCGTGCGCGCAATACGAGGTAGGCAAGGTTCTGTTGTGCCACGTGATCACCGTGCTGCCGTTCGATATACTGTGCAAGGAGATCGCATTGGTATCCTTGTCCTGATACAGATCGCGAAGCTTCTCGATGAAGTTGCGCTTCTGAAGGGCAGAGTGCGCGAATGACTCGTACGGGATGTCCAAAGTCATCGAGAACTCCACCGTGTGGTGCATGAAGGGCGCGGAGTGAACAACTACCACTAGGCCGTCAGTGGCGCTCGCGCCTGTGACAAATCGGAAGAGATTCGGTAAGAATATCTGATGCCTGAATGAAATTCTAGAGGGCAAGGATTCTAAAGTTCTAAAATTACCATCTTTGTCAGTGACTACTAGTTGATATTCCTTGCGCCCAACGTCACTACGCATTGGCACTCCATAAAACTCTTGGTTCTTGCTGTCGAATTGCAACCACTCGTGCGGAGGAATAGGCTTGCGTTCGATGGTTAGCAGAGACATTTGCATGTTCCTTGCTGAACCGTCTTCCGCGTCATAGAAAGTATCCTGAGAGACAATAATTTCAGATAAGTCAGATTTACATTACGCGGTAATACGATCTTTCTTCTTTTACAAATATAGCGTACCTCTGGTACTTTAAATACGAGCAACTGGCCAACAGTGGCATTGACAAGGTCCACTTGGTTTCTTGGTACTGGTGGGAAATTTGATTTAGGCTCTTGGGTAGAAACCCTTGGTATCTCTGGACGGGTCATGTCCTCGCACTGTCCAATACCTTGATAGACCACTCGTTTCACTCTGATTTCAGGAAGAAGGACATCTCTCAACGAAGAACTGGGATCACCGTTCCTGTCGATCAGAACCTAAATCACAGACATTCAATTAGATGTGCTTTTCAACACATACTCGAAATAATAACGAGATATCAAAGCTATATTTACATGCAATAGATCGTTGATATATTCTTTGGGACACTCGCTACTTCTAGGTAAACTATCGTTCGTCCAAGTGAAAATCGCTTGATCCCGATCGATGTCAACCGATCTGACAGTGATATGCCTGGTATCGCTATCCTCGTACAATTCGGCTATGCCTCGAATTACCTGCGAATCAACAAGAGTTACACGCACGAGCAAACGTTTGTTATAACGTCACAGACAAAAAATACCTTTAGCTCCCAGTCAACGTCTGTGGGAAACTCAGTACGCTTATCGATCCTCAAGTAAATACTAAACTCGTGATTCACGCTGCGACTAAGCTTGTGCTGCTGTACGTGAATGTCAAGTCGATCGGTCACGTTCAATCCCTCGCTGTCAGCGGCTACCAATTCGTACGTCCAGGTGGAAATATCGTTCTCCAATGGCCTGTGCAATATGACCATCAATTTAAAAGGTGAATTCATATTTCGCAATATTCTCACAACTATTTCTCAACAGAGCCAATGCTTACAATCCGTAAACCTCCTGCGTCCTTTGATTGAACTGCAGCCAATGACTCGGTTTCAATGGTGCACCCTGCAGATATAGACTCAGCTTCAGGTTCCTGGTGTCCCCGTCTTCGAGATCGCTGAACGTGTTGGCGGGTATGACATAGTTCAACGGTTTTCCAGCAGTGACCGGTATCTTCTTCAATCTCCTATCTTGCTTAGGCGCGGAGTTGCGAATTCCGTACTCTATGGTTTCCGTGGTAATCCTAGGTGGTTCGGTGGCAGGGCTGGTCGGTGCTGGAGTGGTGGTAGTCGTCGTGGTGGTTGTGCTGGCAGTGGTCGGAGCCATAGTGGTAGTAGTGGTGGTGGTGGTAGTGGTGGTGGTCGTTGTTGGCGCTGGTGTGGTTGGTGTTGTTCTCATCTGTGTGGTTGTTGTAGGTGTCGTGGTGGTATTTGTGACGAATGCGGTGGTTGTGAACGCGGTGGTGGTGATGGTGGTGGTGGTGGTGTTGGCAGGTATTGTGGCCGGTAACAGAGTGGCGGGCTGTTTCGTCGAAGACGTGGACGATTGTTCCGTCGGCTGAAGGCAGAAAAAAAGACGTTTCAATGTTGAGAAAAAGAATAATCGAATCTTGATTGAAGAGTCTCGAGACGCGCCGAGGTATCGTGAATAGTAAGAAACCATCAACTTGATTGAATGGCAATTGAAAGATGCGTCGAGAAGATCGTGCGAATAATCTCTTCGGACGTAGTTCCACGGTGTAAATAAATGGAGAGAAGGAAACGTTGGATTTGGCCAGTTTCTCGCGAACTGTGGAGTTTGCACGACTTTAGCTTTACGGCTCGTATGAATTATTACTCGACCTACTCCACAGTGACACGCCTGTGCACCACGCTGTATTAAATTACTTAGCTTTCTCTGCGAGCGTCCAACGCAGCTTTGCGAGTAACGACAATGAACGAAGGATACGCACGCACGATCTTCTTCGTCGCTTAAAAGGGGAGCAGATAGCTTCAAGTGGGGAGCTATGTGATACACGAGGACCTATCGTTTTGGCGTACTGAAGCAACAGACTAACGTGAATCGACTCTATGCGTAGCATTGACTATCGTACAAACGAAGCTTGAAGCATCGAAGCATTACCTCTTCCGTGGTGACATTAATGGTACCAGTGGTGACGTCCGGTTCCGTCTTTTCGACAACGGTGCTGAGAGTGGTCCCTGTGGTTGTGGTGCTAGACTGAGGAACGATTACCGAAGGAGGGATGGTGGTGAGTTCTGGTATAGTGACGGATGAGACGTTTAGAGATTCGTTCTCCGTGTATTTGGTACTCTTCGTTGTCTCTTCGGTGCTCTCCGATCTCTCCGCTGTCTCGGTCGATGGGACAATGATGGTCGGCATGATGGTTGCTGTTGTTGTTGTTGTAGTATCTGCTATTGTTGTACTCGCTGTTGTGCTAGTTGTTGTACTAGTGGCCGTTGACGAGGGTGGTTGTTTGGTTGTTGTTGTTGTTGTCGAAGTAGTTGAGATGGTCGTCGTGGTGGTGGTTGTTGGAGTTGTTGATGGTGGTGATGTAAGTTCAGTGGTTGTTGTCTGCGAAATCGTTAGTAGATGCGATGTACGGCACGAAAAACTTGGTTAGTTACATTATGAAGGGAGCGAAGAAGATGTATACAAAAAAAAAAGAAAGTATAAAGAGAGAAGAAAATATATATGTGTGTGTTTGTGCATTTTTCTCTCTCTCACTCTCTCTCTCTCACTCTCATTCTCAGGCTTTCGTTTCCATTTCAACAGAGATACTTCGCATTACAGCGCTTTCTATACATCGATCGATACCGCCTAAACGGCATAGGGAATGGCATAAGTCGGCATTGAACACGCAGTACCCACAGCTAGACTAAAGTATCTGAAGCGCAACGATTCCCTTAAGCGGTTGGCGTGGCGAATGAAAGACAGAGACATAAGAATTTTCAACGAAAGCCAGTTATGTACGTAGCGATGTTCTTTTTGCTGTTCCGTTTTCACAAACAGATCTTGTCCGATTTGGGGGAAGAGGGAATCGGTGAGAAATTTATTTCAAATTTATCACACGACTCGGCTTCGTGTTTCGATGTGACACTTACGGTCGACCTGCTGTCCACAGTGGTTCTATTCAACGCACCGTCCACACTTGGTTGATACTCGTCTGGAATATTTTCATCGATATCTTCTTCAGTCTGAGGGAAACAACACGAGTTTCATTAAGTCTCCGTGAGGACAAAATGTTACATCTTTGACATAAGTCATGAGCATAAGTCACGAATAATAAAGGATACTTACGTTCCAGTCGATAGGTTCTTCGCCATGGTGGTGCCTGTGAGGATGTTCCGGCACATCTGCTTTGGGAGAGTTCGTCTCCGGCATGAAAGTTGGCGGTACCTGCGAGTCATCGCCATCTTCACCGTCCTCGCCATCCTCGCCGTCTTCGCCTTCCTCCCCGTCGTACTCAATGTCATAATCATCGTCGTAATTGTCGTAGTCCGGATTGCTGTAGTGTCCAGAACCACTCTCCCTTCTGTTTCTCAACAGCAGGCTCGATTCCGTCTTCACGCGCCATAAGAGAACCGGTAGTTGCATCACTTCCGCCAAGGTGCCGTCTTTCGCTTGTTCCCGCAGATGTTTCACCAAATCCGTCTGATGCCTCCATAAATGGCCGTCGCAGCCGACCTTCCGATCGAATTCAAACGTGGAACGTTAGCTTTAATTATCATCGACCATACACTTTCGTCCTTGATCTCTCTTTTGATTGAATATTTCATGTATTACAAAAATTACAATATTAAAATGTTACAATAATAAAATTAAAATGTTACAATAATAAAATTAAAATATTAAAATAATAAAGTTAAAATATTAAAATAATAAAATATTAAAATAATAAAGTTAAAATATTAAAATAATAAAGTTAAAATATTAAAATAATAAAATTAAACTATTAAAATAATAAAGTTAAAATATTAAAATAATAAAATTAAAATATTAAAATAATAAAGTTAAAATATTAAAATATTAAAATATTAAAATAATAAAATTAAAATATTAAAATATTAAAATAATAAAATTAAAATACTAAAATATTAAAATATTAAAATAATAAAATTAAAATATTAAAATAATAAAATTAAAATACTAAAATATTAAAATATCAAAATAATAAAATTAAAATATTAAAATATTAAAATAATAAAATTAAAATATTAAAATAATAAAATTAAAATACTAAAATATTAAAATATCAAAATAATAAAATTAAAATATTAAAATATTAAAATAATAAAATTAAAATATTAAAATAATAAAATTAAAATACTAAAATATTAAAATATCAAAATAATAAAATTAAAATATTAAAATATTAAAATAATAAAATTAAAATATTAAAATATTAAAATAATAAAATTAAAATATTAAAATAATAAAATTAAAATATTAAAATATTAAAATATTAAAATTAAAATATTGCGAATATTACATTTGAAAAATACACAAATATTACAACGAACTCTTTTTTTTCTTCAAAAGAAAATTGCAAGGTAGACTATAATAAAAGTGCAAGAAAGGAAAATTTTGACTGAAGAGCCTCACCTGCCACTGGACTGCCGTAAGGTGTTTCTCTTTCCGGTGTTTCACGTTCCCCGGTCCGCTGAGGATCACGGTGGAATCGTCGTTGAAACTTTCCTTGGCGTTTTGCGGATGCATCGAGAATGCGCTCTGAAATTCGAACAGCGGATGAGAATTTTTCCGCGAGAGAACGCAGCGAGGCAACGCAAGTAACGACGGGAACTATCCGCGCTTCCCCGATTTCAATTACGTCTGAGCACTCTAATCGTACAGAAAATAGGTTTTCGATCGCCGCGACTCGGCCGAGGGAAGGAAAAAAACTCCACGGGACGCAATTAAATCATCCTCAATGGCGGGAGATTCAATTTACGTAATCGAATTGATTATTCGAACGAAATGAATTTCACCGGCGCGATGCAATTTCCCGTGATTTAAGTGCCGCAACTCGTTTCCGAGATCTTTCTTCCAGCGTTCTCCGAGGTAACCGGGATGTGTAATGCGCAAAGCTGTAATTCTCCATTCAAGGACTTCTCCACATCTTTTAATGAGAATGATATTTCGAAATTTTCCTCCAATATTTTCGCGAATTGTTACAAGGGATGATTCATATAAAATTACCGATTTAGGTGATTTCTTCAAAATGAACGAGGATCGTTTAAACAGAAGATGTTCTGTTTCAGGAAGGAAGTTTCGCGTCTCCACTTTTTTAAACACATCAAAACACCTCTTTCCTGAAACCGAACATCTTTCGTTCGAACAATTTTTTTGGCATCTTTTTCCATTTTGAAAATGGAACGGATAATCACTTATACGGATAACGAGATTCATCCAATTGCATTATCGAATCTCAGGCAATACTCCAATTTCGTGTTTTTCTGTGCATTGGAAGAAAAAGACAACTACCTGTATCATTCGTATCGCCTAACCTAAATTGTAGTTTCTCTGGAAACTTCATTTATGCGGAAGAAAACTAGAAGAGGAGAGAAACTGGACAATGTCTTTTCTCACCAACAAGAATATAGAAATAGTAGAGGAAAAATTCCAAGGCGCGTACAGGAAGAAGCGGAGGAAGTTCCACAGTCTATGTACACATGCATGCAGAGAGCAACGCGTTCCCTTTCTTCTTCGCGGCGATTAAATTAATTAAGAATTCCCGGGGCGTGGTAGAAAAAGAAAAAAAAAAAAAAAAGAAAAGAATGGCGGCTGGCTCAAAGGCGTCCAATTTATGCTCGACGGAACCTCACGGCCGGGGATACTTTAGAACTTGGATATTTTCTGTATTATGTCGGGTACGCGATGCACCTTCTATTCCGCACCGCTGGCCTGGTCTAACGCCGTAAAGTTTCCCCTCTCATAAAGAACCTCGCGTTCTCCTGGCCAACTTTATCAAATATTCTTCGCCGCGCCGCGAAGCGTTACTCGCCGTTCTCCGCGAGAACTCGCGGAATTAGGACAGATCCACGATTTCTCATGGACCTCCCCTCTTCCCGATTAAAAACCCACGCCATTCGGCTTCGGTTTGTTAACGAGCCACGGTTATAGATCTCCCTCGCTTCATTTTTCGCGAGAGAAAAGTTTGTGATGGTGAAAAATCATAAAATCCGTACTGTATCGGATATCAGCTGTAGTTCGATACTCTGAATTCAACTGTACACACTATACGCACAGAGTATCCCAGTAACTTTGCCCATCTTGAATATCTCCGTTATTTTTTCGAGATACAAAAAAATATTTTATCAACGAAAGTTAATATACAATGTCATGTGTGGAGTGGCGGAAATTTCGAGATCGTTCCTACTTTCGAAACGAAGCTATACTGTAGCTAGTTTTTTTTATTATTATTTATTATTAGTTTGGGAAATACGTAATTTTAATACTATAATTTAATACTATACTATACGTAATTTTAATTTTAATACTATAGCTAGTTTTAGCTATACTTCAGTTTTATTACTGTAGCTAATTTTAATACTACAGCTATACTTTAGCTAGTTTTTTTCATTATTAGTTTGGAAGACACTTTAATTTTAATAGCTAGTTTTAGCTATACTTTAATTTTATTACTGTAGCTAGTTTTTTTCATTATTAGTTTAGAAGATACTTCAATTTTAATACTACAGCTATACTTTAGTTTTATTACTATAGCTTTACTTTTTAGCTATACTTTAGTTTTATTACTATAGCTAGTTTTTTTCATTATTAGTTTGGAAGATACTTTAATTTTAATAGCTAGTTTTAGCTATACTTTAATTTTATTACTGTAGCTAGTTTTTTTCATTATTAGTTTGGAAGATACTTCAATTTTAATACTACAGCTATACTTTAGTTATACTTTAGTTTTATTACTATAGCTTTACTTTTAGCTATACTTTAGTTTTATTACTATAGCTAGTTTTTTTCATTATTAGTTTGGAAGATAATTTTAATTTTAATTTTAATTTAAGATTAATTTCAATTTTGTAAAATCTAGGCATCTAGGTATCTTAATTTCTTCGTCTTTCGTACAATGAATTTTACAGAATTAAGGTTAAAATATCTCCTAAGCCGATAAAAAAACTGACAATACTTAATAACTAAATTGATAAACAATACTTAAACAATACTTTCTTTCTATAGGGAGTGTAGATGGCAAAAAACATGTCACTCTATCTAAAATAATTATCTACAAAAAGATCATTACCGCCACATCGTGTGTAACCCTCTGAATAACATTCGTTAACAAAATTTGTCCACGTCTTCAAAAACAACTGAGACATTTCAGGTTCAGCAACAAAGTTGCTGAAACACCCTGTATACATCACGGAATTCGTAGAAAAGGCAATTGGCGTGGACAGAAAAGTTAGCAGAAATACAGGATCGTCCCGTGGAAATCAAGTTTCAACTTCTCCTCGATGGCCAGAAGCCACCGAGGATTACGACGATGACATCGTACCACGTGAAGTCCCAGAAATCCTGCGAGGTTCTCGATGGTATTGACTCGAGTGGCCGGCGAGAGGTTGTCGAACCTGGCATCCAGCAGTATCGTCAGCAGCGTCTGCTCTTCCCCTTCGCTGCAGTGCGTCTAAAATCAGAAAGAAACGTCCCGTTTCAGCGACGCTGGCTCGAGAACGAGCAGTGACGAATGGTGTCACTGCGCGAAACGGGAGGAATTAAGGCCGACCGAGCAATACTCAGCTGCGATGACGCACAATACGCGGGACTATCAATTGGCATTAATCAACAACAGTCTGCCAGACTAATTTCGCGGCGAGATTTAAACGTGGCGTACCGATGGAATCGCGCGGCACGCGGGCACGCGGCTAGCTTCTCATCGCTGCACTCCAATCGAATGAATTCCTCCATTTGAGCCGTTTGTTACAACGAGAGTGACCCAACTCCATTTATCTTTAAATCAAGATATTCAATAATTTGCGTTTTGATAAGTTTAAAAATACTGGCAACTGATAACATTGTGGTACAATGCTTTTGTGTTTTTAACCAGCTCGATTAGTATGACAAACATCGTTCAGAAAATAACACTGTTTTTGATGACTGTAAATGGACTTGAGCCACTTTCGAAATTAATGAAATAACTTTTTCAATTTATGAAAAAAGTAAAATTTCCTTAAAATGAAAAAAAATATTGCAATTTTGTGTTGTAAAATTAAGAAATATCCAACATTTATTCACTATTAGAGAAATGTTACGTTCAAATAAAATTTCGTAATTTATAATTCATTCTTCTCCAATTTTCGTAAGGGGGATTTAAAATAATTATGGTGTACAGTGTAATAAGTCCATTATATTGTTGTATTTTAGTGTTGCGATTGGTCTCACATTTTTGTACAGTGGTGTCAGTTCAATATTATTAAAGTTTCTTGGTCTCACCCGACGCGGTAGTAAATCCAGAGTTTTAAATAATGCATCCTCATTCATTTGTTGTTTTGTAAAACATTTTTTATAGTTCTGTTCTCAAAAATCTCAGCCAACATATTTTTAACCAATTCACTTTTTCTTCATTAGTATTTTTTAACCTTCTGAAAACTGCACCCTCTGGAGATTTAGTTGAAATGAAATCCTCTACATTTAATGGAATTATTATTATTTAAAAAAATCACAATCTGAGCTAATCGAACACTACTACTTTAATAATAAAAAAATGTAACTCTTATCTCATGAAAGTTTACCGCATAATATACTTCATATCAGCTGAAACTCTTAAAATGAACCACTTTCAAAATAAAAATCTTCATCGTTCCATTAACCAGCTAATTTTCCGCGTACAAAATCTTAGTGATTTTAAATACATTAGTTTACAATTTGTTTAAAAACGAAGAGATAACGTAGAAATGTAAAACAGTTAGCTTGATTTTTTTTTTTTTTTTTTTTTAGAAATTGGATTAAGGCCATTTTCAAAATAAATGGCCCATTTATCGAGTATTATTCGTACTTTCCGATTATTCGAATCTTTCGATAGAGTGGAACGTTGTTCCTTTACTCGAAATGAAAACTTTATTATATACTTTATAAAAATATTAATTGAATTATTAGGGAACGCAGAAAAATGACCGTATTGCAGATATCGTGAAAGAATCGGCTTGCAGATTCTACGTGGAAAAAAAATTCGAGACATTTCTAGAGGGAAAAAATCGAACAATCGGCAGGCAAACGACGGAGAATGAAGTTATCGTCGAGAGATCATCGCGTGCGTCGAAGGACGAAATCGAGTTTGCTCGTTTAATTAATCGGTGCTAAACGGTTCAAAAAATGGCGGCGGAATCGGCGGACGTGACTGGATCGAGGTAAGCGCGATCGCGGGACCTCGGCAGCGAAAGTTAAACGGGGGCAATTTCGTCCAACGATTTAACGAGCATGCCATCGAGGCCTATTAATTACCGAAAATCGGCCAGATCCGATTAAAACGATCAACGCGTCGCACAAAAGTCAAACCTCGATATGCCTGTTGTTGTTCGGATCGACGTGACGCGACGAAACCGATTAACGTGCTAATTGATTTACCGCTTCATTAACAGCTTCGATTCGACTCACCGAGTTTAGCAACAAACGAGCGAACTCCGATCAACCTGAATGATCCGATCGATCGTTCGAATGAACAACGGCTTACATTACGTTCTGACGAAACGATTTTTAACAACAGAGATGTATCACTTTTTCTCTTTTTCTTGAGTTTTGAGAAATATATTTTTCTCTCTCAATAGAGAGTGTGATACTCAGTTTTGAGAAATTTATATTTATCTCTAACAATAGAGATGTATCACAGTCTCTTTTTCTTGAGTTTTGAGAAATATATATTTTTTCCAGTACTGTAAACACGACTTGTTATTTTCTTTCTTTTTTTTTTTTACTTTCATTTGTTAGCGACTTGGAACTAAAATCTTAAGTTATTATAAAGACTGTTTTACAAAGTGTGTTAATTTCAGGAACTTCAGGTTGTCATTCAGGGGAGCATTTACGTTCTAGACAGTTGATGTCTATTTATTAGGTGTATTATTTTCTATATGTTCCATTGTCAACTGAACTTTGTACAAATCATAAATTGGGGGATCTTCCTTGTGGAGGAGATACTGATGAGTGAGTGTTACTACTGTTTCAAATAAAACATACGATTTCTTTCTTATTCCATTCTGTTGATAATTACTATCTATCTCACATAGTGTTACAGTATCAATTCCAAAAGAGATCTTCTTTGGATTTGAAGAACGATTTCTTATTATTTCAAGTACAAACATAGAATTTCTTTCTTATTTCTTTTTCCGTTGATAACTACTATCTCACATAGTATTACAGTATCTCTTGATTTGAAAAAAACCACTGAAGAATAATCTGTTATTATTTCAAATAAAGCGTGGAATTTCTTTCTTATTTCTCGATACTACCTACTGTTTCTTCACATAGTGTTGCATTTTCTATTCCAAGAGAGATCTTTTCGATTCGAACGAGTTACCGTGCCGAACGAAACGATTTGAAGGACTGGTGGCAAATATACGAAGCTGGCCAACAGGTTGCAAGTTCCCACGATTAATTCTGGTAGTGGCAGGGCTGGTGGTACCTGTTGTTCGTCCAGGAGCCAGTTGAACCGTTGCCAATGGAGTGCCTCCATCGTATAAAGCCTGGCAGCTACGAGAGAACTTCTGGCCAAATAATATAAGGAGACTCACCTTTCCGTTTCTGTGCTTCAATTCCTCATGCTTCTCCGGAATCACTTGCACGACGAACAGGTCCTTCGTCTCGGCCACGTCGTGCTTTGGCACCACTTTCACGCTCAGCACGCGTCTACCCACGTCCTTCTTCGTCGGTACGCCCATCAGAGTGGACGCAGCGTCGTCCCAATACAACCATCGCAGCAGCTTCCCGTCAGTGTCGAACAGCTGTTTGCAAGACATGCGGAATTACCATTAAAAATTGCGTCGCATTTTTAGAGACTCGCGTACGTTGTTTTTTAATGAAATTCATCAGTTAAATGATACATATTATATATCATATATTACATATTATTATATCTAATATTATATTATAATAAATAATATATATATATATATATTATAATATAACATATTATAATATATATATATATTATAATATAACATATTATAATTGTAATAAAGATAAATATAATAAAATAATTATTTTATTATATTTATTTTTATTATAATTATATGTTATAACAAAAATAAATAAAAAAATAATTATAATATATATATATATATATGTATAAAATTATAATATATTACCTAATAATATATATATAATAAGATAATATATTATAATTATAATAAAAATAAATAACAAAATAATTATAATATATATAAATAAAATTATAATATATTATCTTATAATATATATATATAATAAGATAATATATTATAATTATAATAAAAATAAATAACAATATAAATAATTATAATATGTATATAAATAAAATTATAATATATTATCTTATTACATATATATATAAGATAATATATTACAATTATAATAAATATAATATATATTATAATTATTATAATTATATGATATTCTATTAAATACGAACTAGAAATAATTTTTAAATTCTCGAACCAGTCGAAACTTTTGAAACTCGGAACTGAAGGTTTCTCTCGAAAGTTGAGGTTACTTGTTCTAAATAATTGCATAACAATTAAACAAAATATAAACGAAAATTAAACAACGTACAAAAAGATATTTAATAGAGATTTCTGTTTGACATCGACGATTCAGTCTACTTTTTCTTTCATAAATTATTTATTATTATATAATATACCAGAGTTCTTGACACTGTAACAATATGTGTTTTTGAAACAATTTTTTCGATTCGGATATTTTGCGACTATATACTTAAAAACCAACGTCTTGCACCCGACACTTTTGTGAATCGAAAATTCTTTATTTACGCAGCAAATAATACTTTATTGATTAATTTTATTCAAATTTTCGTATCATCGAATTCTCGAAACTCGAAACTTTCTTGGGCCCGAAACCATCGAGATTTCGCGAAATGAAGCCTGATTTCTTCTTGCTTCATCGTAATTTCGCTATCGATCGTCAATAATCATTGCGATAATCGATGTGCGAATAGAATTATGCGCCTCGATGGTTCGCTGATAATTTCTATCTCTTCCAGCGAGCGGAAATGAAACGAGTCTCTACTCGAGCTTCTATTCATCGCTCGATCGTGCTCTGTCCGTGTCTGAACGTCCAATTTCACTTTACCGGCTCTCGTTGAGTACCCATTCACCTCTTTGCCGAACGAACGGCAATTTTTGCATTCGCGATAACTTCCACGTTAATTAACAGACTGTTTATTCTATCTCACTGCTAAAAGCAAGTTACCCTCGCGACTGTGTGTCGAGCAAACGAATACAATTTACGTAATGTGCGCAAATTACAGGAACCAGAAGAGGCGAAGATACGGGAAACCAAGATGGCGAAATGTCGCCTCGAGACACTTGCGAATTTACATCATCGTTTCAAATAAAATGAAGAGACCGCGCGTTTTTATTCTCGTCAATAACGTTGGACGTCCTTTCGAGTCGAAAACATAACGTGGATATTTCCATTTTTTTTCTTTTTTGTTTTAGTTGCAGAAATAAAATGGCTATCGAAGGCTTACTAAACGAAACAGAGAGTAACCGCGAGTATATTTGGATTATCAAACTTTTATTGACTATCGTCGCTATCGTTTCGAATAGCTTGCGGGAATGTTCGAGCGTCGGCGGTGCTCGATACCGTTTGAAAATATATTTCTGGCGAGTCGATGCGTTTGGAAGTCACACGAATAAATATGATTACCATTTTAATGTATTTAGTAACTTTTAATTTGTAAATAAAACGCCGAGATATCATTCGATAAAATTTTTGGCCAATTTAACATACATACATAAAGGGTGTTTAAGAACCAAACTTTGAGAAATAAAAGAATCTTAATAAATAATATTTTTCCGAAGCTGAGACTGAGATGTTTGTCATTAATATTCATGTCACTAATTGTAAGATATTACCTTCATATCGATATGTCTCCTGTTTATTTCGACACAACTAATTCTTTCAAATAATTCCAGAATAGGAATCTATTATGTCTATTATTACAGATTTAATGTAGAAGAAAATCTAATAACTCCGACACTAGTAATTTTTTCACCCATTTGTTCACCAAGACCTCTTTGCTTGTTTCGATGAATACTCCTACTAATTCTCTTAAACCTACCTCGTATGATAAATTTAAAAATTTTCTTTTTTAACAAAGCAGACTTTCTCCAAGAGAGTTAGTCAGAATCTGGCGTGAAGCAGACTTTCAGTCTTGGTTCAATTCTCATTCAAGAGCGTGAAATGCTAATGCAGAGACCTTGGTTTTCTGGTGACGACTTCCATACTCGGTGAATTTCCAACCGTGTTATCGGCAAATTGAATCAAGAATATAGATTCCTGAGGGGTGGATGTCGGCACGTCAGACAAAAGCAAGCAAACGAAAGACACGAAGAAAGCTCTACGTACGGGAAGGATCAGGGTATGAAATTTGGCGACAATCCAGAATTTATCCGAAAACCGCACCCTGGAATTCTCCCAGCCCCTCCTCTCGACAAATTAAAGCGATTAAATTTGACTATTTGTTGTTCCAATATTGGATCCAACCGAGAAACAGTCCAAGTTACGCTACACCGTTCGAAAGTTCAGATAAAATCAACACTGACACTAAAATCCCTTTCGATAATACAGCCAATTACTTTTACCAAATTTCGTGTGAAATTTGAAAAAGCTGAAACAAATACTTTCGTCAGTGTTTCTCGAATTCACAAAGTTTTCCGATCATTTTTAATTTTTAAAATTCTGTAAACTCTTTGCCGGACCAGCGAGAAACTTACGAACGAAAATTACGAGCAAATGACGTAAATTTCATTCAAATCACTCTGCCCAGTCGACTGCTTGAAAATATTTGCACGCGCAAAATTAATTTTTTCTTTTTCCTTGGTCAATTAGTTTAAATTACATTCGTGGAATTATCTTTTCAAAAAGTATATTCATGTTTTTTTCATCTAACCTTGTTGCACTTAATTTCAGCAAGTTTAACAAAAAAATCATTGAAAATGTCATTTACGCGATGATTTGTCGTAACTTTTGCACTGAACAAGATATTTTTGAAATTCTTTTTCGTTCGATCCGGAGGAACCGGTGGGAAAACAACTATATCACTTCTCAGCGAGCGTAAATCACGCTCGTAACAGAGGCTTAACGGTTGAACCTGCCGTTTCGTAGAATATAATCTGCTGCCCACGTGTTCGCTTCTGATTTTGCGAAAACAATGCTACGTATCTGCTACACACACGCCATCAAACGCCACCCACATCTGTTGCAGCATCGCGAGTGTGACGCCACATTCTCCGTTGAACAATGCTTAAAAATCGGTCGCCGTAAACAAATCCGCCGACGACGCAATAAAAAACAAACCCAAGATATTCCCAGAACTTCTCAACATCAACTAAAGCTTCAACTGAAGCAACAAACTACGATCTTTCTCGTCGACGAACGAGTCCGGCTGAGACTTTAGTCAAGACCCTGAAGTCAAGGAGAAAAGAATCAAGGTGACCTGTGTTCCAAAATAAAACTCCTCTCCCCGAGAACCAAAGTCACGTACGAGGAAAAGCATCTATACAAACGTTACTGGCTAAAACGACGGGGGAAAAACAATGAATCGGGCTGGCGAGCCTCCAAGATTAACAGATTTTTATCTGGATGTTTCTCTATTAAATGGACAACGATTCGTAAGCATATTCGTTAAAACATTCTTCGTAATTCGGTTACAGTACTATTCGGAAAATTTTTACGATTTTTGAAAAGCGGCGTTATATTAAATATAAATATAATTTTTGTATTCGGCGTTATATATATATTAAATTTAATATATATATTATATATTAATATAAATAATAATTAATATATTATATTATATTAAATTCAATATATATTATATTATATTATATTAAATTTAATATTATATTATATTTAAATAAATATATATATATATATTATATATATATTTAAATATAAATATTATATATATATATATAACGAATTTTTGTATGCGGCTTTATATATATATATTAAATATAAATATAAATTTAATAATTTAATGATATAAAAAATATTTACATCAATATATAAATTTTATATATATATTATTAAATTATTTATATATATTATTATTATTAAATTATTAAATTATAAATATATATCTCAGTACGAGACGCAGTATCTCTCACCTCGTAGTAGTCTTCGGGGCCGCTGAAAGCTTCCTTGTGGACCTTGAGCTTGAGCACGTGGCCAACCGGCACGACGACATGAACGCGCTCCTTATCGAAGGATGCTCCTTGATGCCTTCTCGTATCGTGGGAGTATTTCTGCTCGTACCAGTTGGTCCTGATGACCGTGGCTGCGGTGCTGGTCGTCTCTTCGCCGACGTCGTCGAACACCAGGTCGTCCTCCTGCAGTGTGAGGCCCAGCAACGCTGTGGGCAGCAGCAGGAAACACGCGAGGACGTAAGGATTCTTCATCTTGCGGCGGAGCTCTCCTTGATCGTTGCTATCATATCATGCTGAAGTGCCTGAAATTAGTAGAATACTGTTACTAGAATACTAATCACAGTAGAATGTCGTTAGTCCTAAGTTAATTGCTGGTGAAAATGAAATTTCTCTTTCCGCTTAAACGTCGTCTCACCACTTTGAATCTTTCCACAGTATAAAGTAAAATTAAATTAAACAACAGAATACTGTTAATGCAAGTTGACTGATGGTTTATAACTTTGTATAAATCTTTTAGTATAAAGTGAAATAAAATTCAACAGTAGAATACTGCCAATGTAGATTAATTATTGATTTAAATAATAAAATATTGCCTTTTTTCACTGAAATTTCTTATATGGATTTTCTACCAGTGTAAAATAAAATTAAATTGAACAACGGAATACTATTGGCGTATGTTGATTGTTTTGGTGGAAATAAAATGTTTCACCCTTAATTGGAACAATAAACGTGTAAATCTTTCAATAAATAAAATAAAATAAAATTAGATAATAGAATACATTATAGATACTAATAGAATACAAAGTAGTTAATATAAATTGATCATTGGCGAAAATAAAATATTTCTCTTTTAATTTGGAACTTTTTGTACAAATCTTTACTACAAAATACAATAAAATTGGATTGCAGAATACTGTCAATATAAGTTGATTATTGATGGAAATAAAATGTTTCTCTTTTCATTCCACGAATCTTTCACTGACATAAAATAAAATTAAAGTTAAACAACAGAATACTGTCAGTGATAATAATCTGGTATTATAAAACAGGATTGGAGCAATAGTATTGGGATTTTTAATCTTCCACAAGCGAGTGTCGTTGAGCTAATTATTTGGAACGTCATTAGAACACGACGAAAAGTGTCTACTATTTTCATGGGAAAGACTCGATCGCTTTCTTCCTCTTTAATGAACGAACCTACTACTTACATCATCGTCGTAATCACTGTTGACACATTGTGTCTTATCTTATTGATTCGCTCAGACCGCCGAGCATGTACTAGAAGAGGCTTAACCGGAAACTGATAAAAGCAACAAAACCAGCAGAAATAACTCAGCACGCTCAATGAACATTCCCCACCGCGTGCAATGTAAAAATAGCTGTGATAACAGCGATTCGATATGATACAAGGAATCACGTACGAACGATGTGACACTACCGTTTCCATGTTTGATGGCTCATTAAATACTGTCACGCGTTGTTAGATCACGGTGAAACAAATTCGTGTTCATCACGCAACCGCACCTTATCGGAAGGGAATAAACTCGGGGCATAAATTTATTAACATGTCTAGCAAAATTTCACGCTATCGCGAGGCCACGATTTATTTATTTATTTATTTGTTCGACAATTTTACTATACGTCGACAAAGAATTACACCGAGAAAACAACGTTTTTTTTTTTTTTTTTTAAATAAAAAGAACAGAACACGATAATCGTCTCCGAATTGATAAGAATCAACCGGTGAACGATCGAACGATCCGTAGACCGTATTTCTCATCTCGTAAATCATTCGGTTCTCGTTCTTCCATTGATCCAATTTTCGTCGCCGGGTTCCACGGGTATTTAACGAAAGGGATAATAGAACGTTCTCGCGAGCGAGAACGAATGCATCCAGTAGTAGTTGGCCAATGATAGCCAATAAAGGCTTCCACGGCATTTTTATTTCCCCTTATTGCTGGGCCCGTCGAGGACCGTGCCATTAATTGGCGCAGCCGAACAATGAGGAGGCTCACAGTTAAGCTGCTCGATGCTTCTAGGGATAAATACACATTGACTGGGATCGTCGTGATCCCTTTCGCTCCAACAAATATTGCATTCTACATTATAAAACTTCGAGCAATGAATTCTCACTGAATTACTCCCTAGTCAATTGCGGACAATGTCAAAAGATGAATTTGAAAAATATGTCCTTCGTACGCAACTAAACAGCGAAGTTAATTAAGTCCACCCATAAGTAACGTCGTTCTTTTTCAAATTTGAACTTAAATCTTTCGATCTTCTTTGCTTCAAAATCACCCTCATTTTACAAAGAGAAAAAGTAGAAAGTCTGTCAGAGAGATGAGCAAAAATTGTCAATACAACGATGGAAATTATATTACAGATTAAAACTGTACTGACTCTTAAATGAAACAAAATTTTGTAAAAATACAAATGATCTACCAATAACATTTGGTAACTGTACCAATGAAAGTTATGAGAATAATTTTGAACACACGTTTTCACAATTTTCGAGAGAAATGTGTCCTCAGTTTCCCACCCGTTACGTGATATAAAATCATCTTCGAGAAGAACAAATTCACGACTGTGAAAGTACAAGCTACGTGCTTTAAAAAGAGATCAAGCGGATCGTTGTATGATTTCCTTTTACAAAGTTACATCAGTTTAAATAATCAACAATTTTTCATCGTTGGTCCAGCTCCTCGCCGCAAGTACACGCATAGTACGTGCTACTTTAATGCACTTAAAAATCGAGATGTGATCCGCAGGATCATCTCGACACGCGCACCATTCAAACGCAACGATACCATGACCCATTTGCGACGCACCTCTGACCCTCGTCTTACTTTATCACAGTAAACTTGCGCGAATAGCAACGACTCGCGGTGGTTTTCCAACAATGCGGCATTGTGAAATAGCCATGACCCGTCTACAGCCTTTCGGATAAACCTCCATCATTGTCATACTTGAGAAAGAACGAGAAACTTTGAAAGCACGACGACTGATGACCGACTAATTCTAATTTAACGAGCAAATTAATCAAGTATTGCTAATTTATCGTTATCAAGTCAATTAGCGTCGACAAATTAGGTTCAAACATACGTTCCGATCGTTGCGTTATCGATTCGAAAAATCGTTCGGTCTCCATAAACTCTGGCTTTATGATTATTTAATCTTGCATTTTCGTGTCTCCCAATTTTTCATTGATAAATATTTTACAAATTTAGATTGCAAGTTAAGCCTACTAAACTACTAAAATACGAATAGAACTTTGAAAGTTTAGGTTAAGTTACAAAGTACGTAGAGTGAGAGTAGCGATTTAGGTTAGGTTACGAAATATGTAAATGAAAGCGTTTACAGGCAATTACAAGAGTGCAAATTGTACGTTTTTGATTTTCCTAATTCTTGAAATGGATCGGAAAATGTTTACAAGTTAAGCCTACTAAACTACTAAAATACGGGTAGAACTTTGAAAGTTTAGGTTAGGTTACAAAGTACGTAGAGCGAGAGCAGAAATTTAGGTTACTTTACAAAATATGTAAATGAAAGCGTTTACAGGCAATTACAAGAGTGCAAATTGTACATTTCTGATTTTTCTAATTCTTGAAATGGATCGGAAAATGTTTCACAAATGTAGATTACAAGTTAAGCCTACTAAACTACTAAAATACGGGTAGAACTTTGAAAGTTTTGGTTAGGTTACAAAGTACGTAGAGCGAGAGCAGAAATTTAGGTTACTTTACAAAATATGTAAATGAAAACGTTTATAGGGAATTACAAGAGTGCAAATTGTACACTTTTGATTTTCCTAATTCTTGAAATGGATCAGAAAATGTTTCACAAATGTAGATTGCAAGTTAAGCCTACTAAACTACTAAAATACGGGTAGAACTTTGAAAGTTTAAGTTAGGTTACAAATTACGTAGAGCGAGAACAGAAATTTAGGTTACTTTACAAAATATGTAAATGAAAACGTTTATAGGCAATTACAAGAGTGCAAATTGTACACTTTTGATTTTCCTAATTCTTGAAATGGATCAGAAAATGTTTCACAAATATAGATTGCAAGTTAAGCCTACTAAACTACTAAAATACGGGTAGAACTTTGAAAGTTTAGGTTAAGTTACAAAGTACGTAGAGCGAGAGTAGCGATTTAGGTTAGGTTACGAAATATGTAAATGAAAGCGTTTACAGGCAATTACGAGAGTGCAAATTGTACGCTTTTGGTTTTCCAAATTCTTGACACGGACCAACGACTCGCATCGAGAAACGGGCGCGAGAACGATTGTAAACGCTGGCATAAATTACCGGGCGCGTTTAGCGGCGCGCGAGCTAGAATCCGGAAGAACGGGGGCTGGGTTAAGCGAGCGTATAAATCGAGTTCTCAACGTTAATCGAAAGGAGGACGATGCAATTTACTGGCCGCTTCTAGGAAACGTTGAAGACGGCCGACGATGCCAGAGGACTGCGCCGTACGTGGAGACAATCGAGTTTGCGCGCCCGCATTTACATACGTCGCCGGAAACTTTTATAACACTCTGTGGTTATAGTGCCAGCGATATGCACGGTCTCTGAACAATCACATAACACGCCGTACTGTAAAACACACGCAATGTCAGTGATTGAAATTCATGAGGAGAGTCTCGATGAATTAATTCTCTCGAGAGAGTTTTTAATTCTCACCTCTGACCGACGCTGCTGTTTTTAGAATTTTTCACGAATTCCTACGACTGGCGCGAGCTTTGTGCCTTTTATTCGAACCAAGGTTTCTATTCCTTCTATTCGGTTCGAATGAACGAAGTGAGAGTCAGTCGAATAATGATTAAATTAGTTTTCAAGTAGTTACTGTATCGAACGAAGGGTGTGTGAAGTGTCGAGGTATATGAAGAACGTGCAGCGTCGTTGCACTGCTTCAACTTGGATTCGAGAACTCGAATGTATATTATTTATCTTTACGTGCGCTGAGAGCAACGAATTTTAAGGTCAAAGGGACTGACGAACAATGTAATTGTTGATTGCTTAAAGCTGTCTTACAACCTCATATTTCTATCGTTCCAAGAACAGAGAAGACACTAAGTTTCAAGTAATTATCAATTATGACAATTACGACGGCCAAGAATTGGATTTGGTTCACGTTTTACAATATCCTATTTTGATACGACTCATTCAGTTCGACCATTCTCTCAATTCCTACCTCTATTCTATTTATTATTTCATTGTTCTAATTCCGTTCCATTCAGTCCTATTCATTTTGTCTTGTTCCGTCTATCCTATTCTATGAATCCTGTCCCATCTTGATCCT